TTAGTACTGACTGAATAACTGAATTATTGACAACCAAACAAGAGCAGAGAATTCCAAAATTAAGACGAATTCGGAGAAGAAAACAAGTCAGTGAAAACGAACATTAGAACTAATAAGCAGAAATGTATCTGAACTCTAGGAATAACAGGATAAAGCTGACCGAGGAGGAAACATAAGACAACTGTACCAAACAACGAAGATCACTGGAAGGTATGGTAAATCAGAGCGACCGGTCCAGAACAAAAAGGCAAACTAATCACCGAAATCATAGGACAGTGAAGGAAGTGTGTAATGCACTTGGGATAATTCTTGAGTAGACCGCACTAAACAAAATCACCGGTCATCGAAGTTGCACATACAGAACTTTCTTTAAATTTCACGATACCAACAATGGAAGAAATAAGCTTGGTCACTAGACAAAGCAGATGCGGCAAAGCATCAGTATCGAACAACATTACAGCTGAGACATTCGAAGCAGACACAGAAATAACTGCAGAAATGCTCAACGTTCAACAAGTAACAACAGACTGGAAAGAAACATACCTCATCAAGATAACAAAGAAAGGAGATCATAGCAAGTGCGAGCACTATAGAGGCATCAGTCGTCTCTCATTACCAAGCAGAATCTTTAACGTGGTGTTATTATACAAACGAAATATTCTATAAACGCCCATTATTCGTGATAAACATTCTGGATTACATGAGCATTGATTGTGAAATGACCGAACGATGGCACGCGGATAATTGTGAAGCAATCAACTTAATTGAGAATACCACGATACGTTAACTTCTATCACCATGAGAATACAGTTGACAGTTTGAGCACGATGACATTATGGAAACTGTTTCGACACTACAGTGTAGTTGAGAAGATCATTATATGGAATTCTTACTATAGACTACAGTAAAACTAGTGCTCGCAGCACAGCTGACAGTCTCAGTCCAAGTAAAAACTGATGTCATATAAGCCTGATAAATCTCATCTTTTCTTTTCCGTCTGGTAGTTGACTGGATTATGAAAACACTCACATTTCTAGGAAAGCATGGATTAATTCAAATATATTATTATCAACAAAAATATAAAACAATGAGACATTTTTGTCATTATTAAGTAAAATTATACTCACTGAAATTTCTCAAGATTAAGGTGTTTTATTCAAATCATAATGAAACCATCGATATTCAGTGATAATAGAGGTAAGACGTGGATCTGAAATCACCAGAGAGACGATCTGTACTGAATATAAGTTCGAACACATTCAGTTATTGTTTCTTTTTGATAGAGTAACAATATGAACGGAGATGGAATAAGTGAACTGTTTGAAAAAGTAGACAATGTACATAACTCTAATTCATTTTATGTAACGTTACAACATACTCTCCTACTATTCAATTTCACTGTCTTGGTCAGTAAGAATATTTTCATTTTTGAAAGTGACTACCATATCTATGAGATGTTATAATCTCTATTTCTAATATTATCGTTATTACTTCCATGATAATATTTGTTATTACTTTTATTATTATTACTACTATATATAAATATATATATATATATATATATATATATATATATATATATATAATAGATCCTATTCGTTCACTTTTCGTCATTCGTACATCATTTCAATTTCGCTTTGTATACCTGTGGTTTTGTTATCAGTGTAGTGCGTTAATGAACGTAATCAACAATTTGTATTCATATTCTGAATTCCATACTCCTTTGAGCGTTATCTAGTGACAGTTATTAGGATGAGAGTAAACGAAGATTAGAAAATATATCAAATATCTACTTCCGCAAACACTTTCAGTAGAGAAGTATGTTCAAAACAACAATTTCTATTTTATTGAATAATTAACAACAATTATTTACTTAAATTAGTTTAAACTATTAAAATTCTAAACAGTAAGTCATTTTAAAAATGAAATGATACACTATAAAGAGATTGTGAAGAAAGTACAACATGTGCAATAAATCAATAAGACGCTACACAAACTTTTATGGGTCGAAACATTTAATTAAATAGACAGAAACTGATTTACCACTGTTGGGGGCATTAGATCCCCAGAACTTACTTCGAAAGGTCCTAATTTTGCAGTTTATTTTCAAAAATTTTGAACTTTCGTGTTTCCGTGCCAAAGACGCTTAGTTGACTCTTAGCTTACATTTCTTACTCGGAAAATCCTTGACTGTCGTCGGTTGATGGATTATTTTATTACGCTATTTTGTGACTCTCACCAAGGGCGATTATATCACTGTATAAATAAGCTTGATTTCTGTGCTTGGATACCGCATTTTCTGGGTACTTCAAAAATACATTCTCTACGCCTCATCAAGACTTATTGATTTAGTTAACAGGGCCTGAGACAAACGGATTAGAATAGCCTGTTGCGTAACTGTATCGCTGATCTTCGTTCAATTCACCGAGTAAGGTGAACTCGTAATAGTTTACTGCATATCAGATAATCAATTACAAACTGAAAATCAGATAATGACACTCATGATTCATTGCTAATGCAAAGTTCCTAGTACAATAAATGCACAAAATATATCCGAGGCTAATTTAATTCTCATAGCTGTTACTCTACCAACGCATAATTGATTCACTTGTACTCTTATTTCAATAATCAGAAGCGTCATTTTGACTGGCTAATGAAATGACTCATGTTGAACAGACAAGAGTCATAAATTTGGTCCGTTTTGTTTCGGTAGGGATAATAGTAGTAGTAGTCGGCGATGTTGTATAGCATGTCTGTTTGATGTAATGAAATTGCTGTTATTTTCAGTGATATGTTCGTTCGTGTTGGATTTTCGATGGAATTAGAAAGCTTGAGAAGACATAAGGCTCACAAAAATATAACTATCCGCCATGTCACATTACCAGACAGTCAATTCTGTATAAAGTATGTATGTAATGAACAATTAATTCATACATACAATTTCCCTCAATAGTCATTCACTTTTAGGTGTGCTGCTCATCACTTACATTTTTATGATTCCAGTTGGAAATGAAATGAAAGCAACTTGTGCTTTATGTGATTTTAACGTCGTAAATTCAACATATTTTCTGTGATTATTTTTAAGATACGTAATTCAGAAACTGAATGTATCAGACAGATTGACTCACATGTGAACACAAAATATTTCCAGCGAAATATATAAATAGTGATACTAAATAGTGACAACCGAAATAATGTTCAGGTTGTGCATTCGAATACTATTAGTGTTATACTGTACATGGAATTTCGCATTAGCGATAAATCGTGAGTGTCACTGATTGATTATTCAATTCGTATATATGTGACGTATCGGTTCGTGTTTATTGTCCTCTCCATTCTGTTACAGCCTGGTTATTGCCTCCAGGACAACGGCCTAAGGGTTACGGTAAATTTTCTTACTTTTTGACTGTGAATTTACACTTTTGTCTATGAGATTGTATGATGTTTAAACACTTGTACTGTCACAAGAATTGTGAAAGTATAATGGGAGTAGCAGTATGTCATAGAATATAACATGATTTCAAACACTTTTAAAGTAATTGTTAGATGATCATTTTACATTCCTAAAGTAAATTTGGATTTCACTAACAATGAACTCATACGAGTTAACCATTGTGTCAGGCTTGAAAGTCCGTTTAGCAATAGATGTGATTTATTTGTCTGTTCAACTTCTGTGAATGATCTCAAAGGGCTTTGAACCAATCAATGTTTCTTTAAATGACCAAGCTACATAACATTTACATTCACCTAAAGAAATAAACAGTGTTATTGTTGTTTACACGTTTGATGATCAGCAAATAATCTGTAAATGCTAGAGTGGGATGGTTGAGAGTTAATCGACAACCCCTTGTTTGAATTAGAAATTTATAGCTGAATTATTTATGAACTTTCTCTCTATGTATAGGCATTAGATTTCTTAGTATTCTATGATGAATGTTGTAAGGTTTGTCCGTTTAAAATAAGAGTTTCGCTCTTCACCTGTTCACTTTCTAAGTAATAAATAGACTACTTCTACGGCTACTACGATTACTATTGACTTATATCCTTGTAATGTTTATTGAATGAAGGGTAGTATGTGTTACATATATTCACTCAACTCGCTGGATGTAGGTGAAACGTTCTGAATGAGGTTTGATCATTTATTCACGTCTTTTTAGAGATGTGATCGTAATGTAAATCTCTTGATCATTATCAATGACTGTAAAATTTTTCAAAATTTCAGTGAAAATTTTAGTTTGAGTGCAAATATCATGTTTACGTTTCATGTCACAAAACATCACGGTAATTGAAATTTTAAATAAACACCAAACTCATCAAGTAACATAATTGTATAAATCATTCTGTTGAATATTGTAAATATAACCTAACTCAATTTTCATGATTAATACAGAGGACACAACGACAACAAAACGTGAGTTTAGTTCTCATTTTAAAAGTGTGTCTTAGAAATAGCAGTATAATATTCAAATTAATGTCAGTGATGAAGAAAGCTTTAGTTTGAATTATTACTCTGTATCAACATATTTCAAATATGAAGTTTCGAAACTGATAACAATTTATTTATCTGTTTTAGCGAGAACTACTCAGCAAAATCCAACTATGAAAAAACTCACAGAGGAAGAGAAATGGAACAGGCATGTATATCACACTCAAATAACATGGTAGATATCATACTCAAGTTCAAAATTATTGTAACGTCATTCACATTTGTACGATTACACTATTGATATTTTTTGTTACATGTTTGCTCAAACGGAAATAAACATTGAATTAGTACATTGAAATTTTCTAACAAATATCATGGTGATATTGGTTTGATTAGGTGTAAGCTAACAAATAAATTATATTGTTATCATGAAATGAAAATGTCAACAACGTGATTATGTGGAACAATCACAAGGCAGATTAAGATTCATACAGCTTACACGAAAAAATGGTTATCTGAAACCGAGTAGCTCAGTGGTTAACACTGTGGTATTTCAATGTGAAAGGCATTAGATTTAAATCCTGTAATGAACAACAACATGAATGCAGGCACATCCATCTGAAGAGTGCAGATCAACATAGAATACGAATTCTGAAATCCGCTGCTAATCATATTCCTTCTGATTTTTACTGATAGTAACAATGTGTCAGGCAAATACATAAGATTAGGATAGCTAAGTGTAATAATCTGAGCAACAAAACATGCTGTCAGATAAACAAACATACCAATGATTGCGAACTAATGTTTACATTTATCAAACCTACTAGTGATGTTATCATGAACTGTGACAGTCAAAATGTTCATACATACACTCTTTCCCTCTGCACTAATTCACTTTGATGTGTGCGGCTGATGACGTACATTTTTATGATTCAAAGTGGAAGTGAAATGAAAAGAATTCGTGCTATATGTGACTTAGCCACAATAGTAACCTCCTATGATCGAGACAACAAGAGTTTAAATTATATTTCGAATGTGGCTACAGGTACGAAATATTGATTCTCCTGTTTGTCAACTCCAGTAGAATCGATCATGAATAAACTGATAAACAGGTTTAAACACTGTCGACCAACAATAATCTCACATTCGTCACAACGAAATAACACTTTTTTCTAAGTTTATTATGAGGTAACTCAGATTTCAATATTGCTGGAGATGCCAAACACATGAAAGTTGTTTATAGTATGATTGACAATAACCCTTGTGGTTGGTAACCGATGTGTTCTTAGACTTCATATGCTTCTGGTCCACACAACCGTTACTAAATAGCTCCTCACAGTTTATAAATCAGAAGAGGAATGAGAAGTGTTGGATACGTTTATTTGAAAACCCAATCAAAGGCACACGCATAAAGTCCCTATGCGAGCGCCGAATGGCAAACAAACGAACTAACGAATTAGCGAATTGGCGACAGAATTAATACGATTAAAAAATTCGTTCATTATTTCAGTGACACTTGTTATAAACTGATTCAATCTGTGCATTTAAATTAATCCATTAACCTTGAAAATACATCAGGCACATTGTAGTGAAACAAGGTGAGTATGAGTTAAACAGTGATTATAATGCTGGAGTGAATGATAAGCCCATAATCTGAGAACGAAGCAATAACATGAGTAGTTTTTGCAAAGATCAAAAGGGTAGAAATAGTTGGATTTCACTTATCGCCACTCCGTCCAGTACAAAATACGCCTGCCATTTATAAAAGTTGTGCACATGTATAAAAATGTGTCATTTATGTTGAATGCTAAACAGCAGAATTATATTTATGTATTTACTAATAAGTCGTAATATACAACAAAATCACCTTGAATGACTCCTTGATTTGCACTCTTAATTGAAGGCACGCAAATTCATATTTCAATGCCTCTCGATATTCACTTTTCAGTGTGCTGCTCATAGATTGTTGATTGAGTAAATGTCTACGGGAATCTGACTGTGATGAATTTTTAATTATTCTACCGGCTAGAATTAGGCGTTTTTCCATTGATCCAGTGATTCTCTTCTCAAACAAACTGTTGAACCAACAAGTTTGCGCTTTTCCCAACCATTGAAATTAGAAAAAATCAATTAAACTCACTATGAACGTGATGAGCAGTAGTAGTACAATGGTAACAAATGTACATTTTGAATTTGTGGTGGAATTTTTTTATTCAAACACAGTAATGACGTATGAGAAGTACTTAAGAATTATTCCTTCATGACAGATAATATGTTTTTAAAAAAATTCGAGTTATTGAAAGAAATGCTATGATTGGTAGATCTAGTAGAACACCAAATATTTTACAATTGCAACACTGATCACTATTCATTATCGATCGATATGTTTTTACAGTATCATGAATTGAATCCTAACCAATAGACGAATAATGTATAACAGCATGAAATCAGCTTACGTAATTGGAAATCATAGCTTCTAAATCGCATAGTGAATACAAGTTATTTAATTCTGTCAACGGAGACCTAAATTGAGAATTCCACTTGAGAGTTTTGTCGTGCAAAGCCTAGCATTTTGATAATGTTAATCAATCGTTAGTTTTAGGATAGTTATGAATAATCACGATGATATTAAGTATGCAGATTAGAATATGGTGGTCACATGAATAGTTCATTCGTATGACTGAGGTGCGCGTCCGATAGAGGCTCAAATATACGGTTCATGTAGAGAAAGATTCCATTTTCTAATTGGATATAGATATATTAGTTGAAGAAAACTCAAATCGCAACATATCTGTGATGAATGGTGCATCTGTATGGATGTGAAGGAAACGGCTTCATGTGACTTTATTATGGAAAGATTTGTTGCAACAAACGATAGTGTGAATGACAGCTGTTACCTGTGTCTTATTAAGTCAATGATCACTGTCAACAATGCAACGAGGAATAAGTGCACAAAATTATGCAATCTGTTGTCTTCAAACAAACATCGAGGCGATTCCGGAAAATGAACGTGAATAGTACAATAGTTAAGAGTGTAACATCACAATAACCTATACAATGGGTTTTTCGAATACATAAGAATATTACACAACAAATAAACTTCGGTCACATCACACATCACGGAAATATTCGAAATGTAGGTGGTCACTGAAAATTGAAGAGTAGTATGAACAATACACAAAATACGGGATGCTTGAGAGGAGAATCAATACACAATAAAAATCAACTTAAGAAGAGAACAGACTTCAAACAGGATGCTTATGAACTTCACAATACGTTCTCATCAGTCTCAGCAACACAGTTCAATTAATCATGAGTTTGTAAATGTGGTGAGATTGTAATATTTTGAGGACGTATGTGCAATACTAGTGATGTTGAGAAGCTTCACCCACTTATTAGAGTCTGCATAGTGTCATAAATTTCAATGAAGAATTAGGAGTAAGATTTAGGAGTTACTGTTGAGTATTGGGGGTACGCTGTTCGTCACGAACAGACATCAACTATGATGCAATCTGGATGAGATTTACAGTCTCTTCAAAATAATGATTATTAGGAGAGATTTGCTACTGCATTGTGATCAATTTTTATTCTGATTGTGATATTGTGGTGAATTTGTAGACTTACTAGACGTTTCGATTGTAAATTCATTAAATTACCAAGTATGTATAACACCAACAAGTGTAATTCTGTCTCAACTGAAAATGTTGAGAACACTGGTCATCAAGAAAAACTATTTTAAAACGAACAGTTATTCGAAAGGTGAACTCAATCATAACCAATGTAATGAGCTTTCAAATTTTCCATTTTGTGAATTCATCTTATTACATACTGAGTAGTTTGAGATATAAAAATCTTGAATTTCGTGTGAACGTCACCTGGTAAAAAATGTGAAAATGTGCTCACATAAATCCATCACATAAATTTGTTTTGACATTTTTATGTGTGAACATAATTTGATTGAGATAGAAAGAATTCTTGTGAAAGCGAATTCACACGAAAATGATCACACATCAGCTTGACAAATCCAACAACGTCACATTTGCTGTGATCAGCTTGAGGAAACGTGATTCAGTAAGTGAGTATGTGAAACAGATTGATTGCACATGTAAACACAAATTATTTTCAGCGAAATGTTTACATAATGACACTAATTAGTGCCAACCAAAGAATGATCAAGCTGTGCCTACAAATACGATTTGTGCAATCACAATTATATACGTTTCTCACATGATGATAATGAAAATTTTGTTAAACATGGCAATAATGTAGCAGATCAGATCAAGGCATTGAACGTTTTTTTAAATGAGGGGAAGATGAATAATCATGTTATTGTTGCGGAATTGAGTTTTCATCATGAAGATTAATGAGGAAACTATAATCGGAATGCTAAGAGAAAGTGTGATACGATAAAATGTTCAGATTGAAATGACCTTTGATCGTTAAGATCATTTACACAGAAGTAAAACAGTTGAGGGTTAAGCATGTGTAGGGAAGGAGATGGCTGTGAGAGAATAAACAAGAAATTTTAATTTTATTTCTATTGGAGATTATGACTACGGCAGAGGAAGCGGTGGTTTCTGTATCTTCTGCACACATAGATCTGGTTTACACAAATGGATCACAAATGCTTCGCAATCCTGAGTAGATAGCGATCAACGGATTTTGGCGGTTTTCTACCTACCATATAGAAAACGTTTTATCGAATGACCTGTGTTTATATTCGAACTACACAAAATGACTAACTAGTAATTGTGTGGAAGTGAGAAAATTTCATACTGATTCGGCATCAACGGAACATGCTGTTTATAGTACTCATCAAGATGATATTTAAAATATGAAAATAACTCAAAAAAGCTTGTCCAACTATAAGGATAGTGGTGGTAGCACTCAATATGTTACTAAAGTGACTTGACCTCAATAAGAAATCCAAACATAAAATCCAGAATCAATACCTTGATCACTTAAATTCAAGGGATCTAACGTCCCCAACAGAGATCTTAAAATGTTGCTTTTGTGTATTGAGGAGGGTGAGAAAGATTATGAAATTTGTGACATGATGTAGTGAATTCAAAAATAATAAAATCTTCAAATGTCAGCGTGAATTTGTATAGATAATGAATTGAGTCGAATTAGGTTATTTGAATAAACAGTGCAAGTTGGATGAATAATCAGGCGTCGATTCGTTATTGAGAGTAAATGAATCTAGTAACATATTGAAAGCTACGACTACTCGTCTGTCCTTATAGTTGGACAAGCTTTTCTCAGTTATTTTCATAATTTATATATCATCTTGATGAGTACTATAAACAGCATTCACCTTTGTTGCCAACTCCATTTTTAATTTTTACAG